GACCCGATGATCTATTGAGGTCCCTTCCAACCCTAACATCTATGAATCTATGCCCCTTCCTCCTGCTTATCCCCCCCCCCATGCCTGTGCCTACCCCCTTGCTGCCTGTCTGGGGGGGGACAGGCAGTGTGGTGGGGCAGGCTGCATGGTCTTCCCCATGCTTCCCATCACCCTCAGCGGCATATCAGAGGTCTCTCTTGTGCATCTCCTCCCCCCCATCCCTCTACCATGAGACCCCTCCTCCATTGTATAAACTGCCCTGACCTGGGGCAGGTGGTAGCTCATCTCTGGCTTCAACCCTGAGCCAAGGGCCTAATCCAGACCTGTGCCACCACCTGCTCCAGGCTGGTACTCAAGTCCATGTTGACTGGGGGAAAAAAACCTCTTTGATTAAATATGGCATGTGTGACAGAACTCTCTCATGGACTCTTAAATGGGCATGAAGTCAGGACTCAAAGCTACAGAGAGGCTGGGCAGAAACAAACTGCAGCTTATAAACTGCAAAATCAGTTAATTATAGATGGTCTTTACATGGGAACACTAAAACTATTATATATGTATTATTTTAATAAAAGTTTAATTATATACAAATCACAATTTTTTCCTTTTACCCCCTTAAAAAGACATCTTACTAAAATGGATTTCCTGCCATTATCTCAATTTGTTTAGGTTACACATTTTCAAGCCTAGTACAACATAAATTATGCCATTTTATAAGAAAACTGAAATATTTTCCCATCTCAGGTAATATTTTGTTTTTCATTTGGAAAAGGTCCTAAAATCAAAATCCACCTTGAAACACCTAGTGCAGAAATCTCCTTTCACATGCTCAGCAGGCGCGTATCTGGATGTCACAAGAGCTACTACTTCACTTTCTTTTCACAGGCTTACTCGACTGGGAATGAACAAGAAGGTCTAGTGGATCAGATGAAAGCTTGTATGCTTAATTTATCATATACTTTCCCCAAGATCCCTACTACTTGACTTATTATAGTACTTGTGAATGAAATATTCTACCTTTCCAAAGATTCCTCAGCATGAATCAGGGAGACAAGTCCCTATTCCTCTGTATCTGGGAGAACCAGATTTCACATACTGGTATCTGGACATATTGTGGAACTTTATATTCATACAGAGATAACTTCTTTCTGTATTTTATGTTCGTGGCACACACACATGTGCATGTATAAACACTGGTTAGTTAATAAACCTTCCCTGTGCGTTCACAAATCTTTATGATGTTTTATTGAATCATTTTTAAGATTTGATAATCTGTTTACCAGATTAAGAATTTTTCTATTTCCACACACACAGAGGCACATGAAGTGGCCCTGCTTGCAGGTGGGGGCTATGCTACTCTGTACAACCTACTACTTACACTGAGAGACATGTCTGGGCTGAACTAGTTGGCCTCACGAGCAAGAGGAAAGCCTCCCAACTACATGCACAACAAAATCCAGCTCCCAAGATCTCCACTGCCCCCCCACAATAACTACACCCCAGAGCAGAACCATCACCATTCCTAGATCTTACACCTGCACCTCCAGAAATGTAATATGTCATTCAGTGCACCAAATGCCCTGATGGAAAATATGTAGGAGAAAGCTAATAATAACTGTGTACCAAAATGAGTGCATACCAAAAATCTATCAAAGACAATAATAAGCAACTACCTGTGGTTGCACCCTTCTTACACGATAACCACTCTCTTTCCAATCTCTCAGTTCTAACCCTCAAAGAGAATTTACAAAACACCTTTCATAGATGAGCCTACAAACTTCACTTCATAAATCTACTGGATACAAAATATATTGGACTAAATATAGGCATCGGATTTATGGCACATTATAACCTGCTTAACATCTGATAATCTAATAACCCCAGGTAATGTGTCTGCATTTTAACAGCTACATTCTCTTACCACGTCAAATTACACCCCCACCCCCACCACCGCGAAACTACCCATCTCAAACCTATTGTCTGACAGGGCCTTTGATCCTCTCTGCTACGCATTTGCATTTACACACACCTGCATTTTGCATACTGGCTTCCATTCCACCCAGGAGGGAACACAAAGCAACAAACTCTCCCTGTGCCTGAAGAATGGTTTTGTACCCAAAAGCTTGCAAAGAACAATTTTTCCAACTATTTAGTTGGTTTAATAAAAGATATCACATTTACCCAAGTAACCTTATAGATTCATAGATGTTAGGGTCGGAAGGGACCTCAATAGATCATCGAGTCCGACCCCCTGCATAGGCAGGAAAGGGGGGCCCGCTCGATGCCTATATAACCTCCCCAGCTAGATGCCTATCTAACCTCCTCTTGAAGACCCCCAGGGTAGGGGAGAGCACCACCTCCCTTGGGAGCCTGTTCCAGACCTTGGCCACTCTAACCGTGAAGAAGTTCTTCCTAATGTCCAATCTAAATCTGCTCTCTGCTAGCTTGTGGCCACTATTTCTTGTAACCCCCGGGGACGCCTTGGTGAATAAAACCTCACCAATTCCCTTCTGTGCCCCCGTGATGAACTTTGTGCCCCCGTGATGAACTTGTCTGTCTAGAATGCAGACAGACCTGGTAAAGAGCTGAAACTGAAAAACAACACCTGCCAGGGTAGAGGCAGAGGCACTGGGGCTCTGTCTAGAAGCAGCCAAGAGATACAGGTTTCAGTAAGTGAGAAAGGAGGAAAAAATATGGTAGTTAGTTCAGTTTAAGATGAAACATTAAATCCCATCAGTCAAGACATTTAAAAATTCTTTAAAATGTTTTTGCAGAGGTTGCTGGAAAGATATTGAAAGAAGTGTTGAACAGCAGTATATAGCAAATGGTTTAACCTTGCTATAGTGTCCATTACCTTGGGTTAGCAGAAGTCAATGAAAAAGAAAAACCTTGGACAAATTCATCAAAAAATTAGCAGAGATTGACAGTTGTTCATGTAATAATGGCAGCTGAAAAAAAACCGATCAAGAAAACCATTTAAACTCCTACACCATGCTTTGTTACACAAACCAAAAGTATTACAAATAGTTGAAAACAAGTAAAATACAATTTCAACGTATTTAATATAATTTTGAGAAAAAATCCATAAAATTGTATTTTCAAGTCAGATTACATGAAAAATAAATATTTTTGTAAATAAAATGATTATGTGAAATATAAAAATATAACACAAATTTGAGTTGTTAGCATATCTAAATATCACAATGTACGGGCAAAAGATTAATGATAAATAAAATGGATTATTTTTTGCACAGGTTTGTTTCCAAACAAAATACCTGAAGTAAACAATGACAAAAAAACCCCAAACTGTCCTACCACCAAGATCCCACAGTATGAGGAAAAATACGACACGGTGAAATGTTATATAAACATTTAAATCTGGATATATATTCACATTCTTCTTTTAAGGAAAAAATAGGAATATACTGTTAAAGATTAAAAAGGCTGTTGTCAAAAGTGGTAGAAAATTATGAATACTATACTGTTTTAGTTCACTACCTACATTCCACTTATGAAATGAAGCAAGCTGTAATGGACTCATATGAAGTAATAGTCTCAAGCCTTTTAGAATATACTGTTACTGTTAAACATACAACGTCCAATGACCTAATGCCATCTAAATCCACTCATTCTTTAGGAACAATCATATCGGCAAGGTATCAGTAATTATGTTTTGGCTCAGATGACATTTCTGATTTTCAAACTAAAGCAAGTTCAGTTTATCCTGTCATCTTTTCATACTCTCTTCTTCCTTTCATTCTCTGATCTTATATTTGATTAGGTGTACTGATGGTGCCAGTACAGATCCCTGTCAAAACCCTTTCAAACACTATGTGCAGTCCTTGGCATTCTCTTTAACCTTTCCATCCCCATGCCCTACGTTAGATATATTAATCTGACACACATACCTCATCAAGAATACTTTTTAAAATCTGAGAGCAGTATCACCTTAGAATAACACAAATTATTCCTTCCCTCTCAACTTCTGAGGCTGGGGCAGAATCTTCAGTCTATAAGCAGCCCAGTGAAGAAGAGGAATTTAATACTAACACTAATCCTGCAGTTGGTATTTAATGGAAATATTCCCATTAATGCTAATGAGACTATTTATGGGGCTGAGTACTAGTCACTTAAGGAAAGATTGTAGAATCAGGTCTCGAAAATTAAAACCAAGTTTCCTGAATGCAAAAACAGGGCTTTGCAGTTAGGGATAATCTTGGAATCTTTATGTTTATTAATACATATGTGTGTAATTATATATATAAGGAGCGTGTATTTTTTGCAATCAATTGTTTTACATTATTCATCAAAATACTTTTTAAAAGGCACTTTGAAGTAAACTTTTTGATGACAAGATTTATATAGTTCACATCAAAACAATAGGTTTCAGAAGCAATGAGTGTCACTAGATAGGAAGGGGGTGACTTTACTCTACTTAATTGGAAAGATGAATCAGAGTTACTGGGGCCAGAAGGATGTTAAGTCATCACAAAAATTATAGAAAAAATTCAAATGGAGGATTATTGAATATAAAATATCAGGCTCTATTAAGTAAAAATGCCCACTGTTTCTTAGCATAGAAATAACAACAATATAGGGGGCTTACAGTAGGGAGAATATTTTACCTGGACTTTCACATTCATATTGAATCCATGTGTTAATGACAAGTTTATAAAATTACTTCAAAGAGTTTAATAAAAATCTACCAAACTTGTGCCTGCCTCACAATAATATTATGAATTTGTTTCTTAATAATTATTTCTTAATGTCAACAAGTCACTACATTTTTTCTTTTTAGATTTTAAGTATATTAAAAAACCCAGATATTTATCATCTACATTACAAATAACATTCATCTACATTTTAAAAACTTCAATAGGAAGTTAGCACCATAGTAATAAAATATTCAATAATTAAGCACTGCTCCCAAATGTCTTTTTTATATAAAACATTTGTAACATATACCATATAACACAGGTAACATAGCCATACTAGTGGCTATTTCCATAAATGGCTTTTTTAATTCAAAATGTAATTTAATAACTTATGGCATTCAGTATCAGCATTTATTCAAACTAAGAAACATATAAGCTGTAAGACCCCAGCAGAGCAGAATGGTTTCTTTACTTAATAAATATAGCAATTTTTTTGGCTTAATACCATACTGAAGCATTACAATGCAGAGCAGTCAGTACTATAGTCTCAGTACTTTAAGATGAAGTGTGAAGTCTTTTGGTAACTGATAAAAACTGACTTCCAACAGTAACATCCCACTTTACTGGAGCACTAGCTGAGTATAACTTGGGGCTTACAGAATTTAACACACTCTTCACTGACTGCTCCAACAAAAATAACCTCAAGTAAGCATCTTGTGTTTTATGAATGCATTTTGGAAACGATTCCATGTTGAACATTTGTCTGGAATACTGACTTCCCTAGGCAAAAAGACATATTTAATGTGCTTATCAGCCATCTCACAAACAGAACTGGTTTTAAAACCTGGAGATTTTGCTTCATAACAAATTATTTAACAAAAATAATCTTTTTGATAAATGTTGCCAACAGGTTGGTTAGTTGTTACATTTTTTAAAATATTTTCTAAATAAAACTGAGACCTATGGGTAGCAGACAGACACTGGAGATTCTTTCTGGCTGGAAGTACAAATAAGCAGAGACTATTAGGCCTGTCCACTTTTTATGCCTCCAGGACTGGGTAGTATGAGGACATGTAGGTCCCCCACTTGTGTCTCCACTGCAGATTAAAGAATCCCATTTTACAAGCATGGGCTGTATGTATAGTCTGTGCAGATAATCGCTAAAAGAAGAAATTTTGGATTGGTATGAATATTAATTTAGCTCTAGGAGAAATTCGAGGTACTGGTGCCTAATGCCTGAACACAGATAATTCAGAATTATTACCAAAGTGCTGTTCCTGTGGCATTGCATAAAACTATAGCAATACTTAATGTACAATTCTGACATAGGTGAAAAAACACAAAATTAAGGAGATCATAATAGGAACTTGGGGCCTAATTCTTCTTTCACACACCCTAGTTTTATGGTAGTGTAATTCCATAGACTTCAACCAAGAGTAAAATTGGATCCCCAATTTTCTGTTGCCCCCAAAAGAGAAGGTTGGTACATCCTCTCAAGTATAAACATTCATCTCAGCAAAAATACAACAGACTTGCAACAAGTGTTTGTAACTGGAAAATATATGCAATTTTTTCTTTTAAAAAGTTTCATATTGTTACATTCTTCCTCATTTTCTCTACTACACCAGCATATTTTTAATATTGGAACAAACACACATTTCCCTTGCAATATCTGTCAATGAACAGTTTCAGTTGCAAGTCTTTCTTCTTCTGTTTCCTGCAAAGTGTCTTTGTGATATAGCACAAAATAATAAAAGATTACCTAATTTCTTCCCATTGAACAAAATAAAAGAATTTCAAGTGCATTTTGACATCAATTAGTATTCAGTAGGGGAAAATGTTTAATAGACCCTGATTAAATTTGAAACTTCCATCTTTTTAGAGGATGAGTGGAATCTTTTCACATGCCATCTTGAATAACCTTAGAAGTCTCTGAATGTAGAATTCCTGGAAGAGGGGGAAAATTGTATAATTACTCTCATATTTATTTAATAGCGAAATCCATGCTGTGGTTTATATTTGTAACCTTTAAGGCAGAGCTTTCCAAACTTTTCATGTTGGTGACACACTTTTTAGACATGCATCATTTCGCGACACAGTAATTCAGTTCTGGGGGAGGGGCCAAGGGAAGCAGACGCGAGTAAGGGAGCTCCGCGGTGCCCTTCCGCAAAATTTTCTGCATTTCGCGCGACACACCTACACACTGCCGCCGACACACTAATGTGTCGCGGCACACAGTTTGGAAAGCTCTGCTTTAAGGACTTAGGCCTGCAAGTGCTCTTTGTATGGAACTCCTATTTGCTTCAACAGGGGTTCCACCTACAGACGATTTACAGAATTAGGCACCAATTGACGAATTTCAAAAGACATGAGTAGCCAAATGCTGTCTGAAGTCAACCATAATTCCAGCACCTCTGAAAACTGGAGCTATAATGGTTTTTCCCACTAATTAGGTAGACTAGTAGTTATACAGCACACAGGAATCTCAGGTGGTATTATACTACAGGTAGTATTACAGCAGAGTAATGTAACACACTAAGAATTATGAAACCACAGCACAATCCCACTAAAAAGAGAAAGATGATAATTGGTTGACTTAATCTACAGTCACAATCCAACCACTCATTTTCATGAATAGCCAAAAAGGGGGAAGGTGAAGAATCAAAGAATCACATCAGAACAGCCAATAACAGTGAATAAGGCATTCATCTGGGATGTGGGAAAGTAAGTTTGAATTGCCAGATACAAATAGGGCAGAGCAGAAACCTTAGCCTGAGTCTTCTACATTGCAGAAAAGTGTCCTACTAGTCCTCAGGCCCCTGGCTAGTCTGTTTTCCAGGAAACTTTTGTTGAATGTGGCATGCTCGCACAGTTTGTTTTGAAAAAAAAAATTTAGTGAAAAAAAATTCTTGACAAGCCCTAATTCCCTCTAGTTTGTCCAAGTGAGAATGTCTAAGAACTGAACGTGGAATGATGTGAAGCATAATTAACCCTTGAATATTTAAGTCCCAAAAACCAAAAGAAGAGAGAAGAAAAAACCTGAAATATAGCAGCCCAGGAAGTATACTATTTTGGAAACAAAGGGCTTATTTGCATATAAAAGCTATACATGTTTAACTAAAAATATATAAATTTATTTTGATAAACCAATAGAAAAATCTTAGTGGACAAATTTAAATTGGTTTACGCTTAGCTTTTATCAGTTGAGCTCACAGAGTGGCCAATCCTGTAGCCTATACAGCCTTTACAGCCCCTAGAGCCGGGTTTCTCAAACTTTACCATAGTGAGCCTCACTGAGCTATGAAAAAAAATGACTGCGCCTCACCATAGCGTCATCATATTTTCAACTTCTGTATTTTGCTGGAACCTCTGTAGCTATGCTCTCTTTATCTTGGGTTGTATGCTTTTCTCCCTTCGTCACAAAATGATTCATTTCTTATTTAAGCTGTTTCTCACTAAGCGCACTTATTTTAAAAATATTTTTAATTTAATTTCAAAAAATATTTTTGTCCTGATTTACATATATTTGAATAGTAAAGTGCTCTACAGCTTTCCCTGCCCCCGGCTTCCCTACCTGCTGCCTAGGGTGCTGCCCTCTCCTCAAAAAAAGGCTCACAGCTTGCACTTCCCTTGACATGATGCCATGCCTCCCCAGGGAGGCCCACCTGATAGTTGGAGAACCCCTGCCCTAGAGAACTGGCAAGCAGAACAGGCACAAAGTAGAGTTGTGGCTCCTAGCCACACCCCTGTTTGCTAGCCCTTTAGCTGCAGTTCAGAACAGTCCACATTAGAGAGGGCATTAACCTTTAACATGCAACTGCTCATAGCAGATGCTAACTTTAAACACTGACTAGCATTTCTTAGCACATGCTAATTGTAATGTGTAACCTCATCCTGTCATACTGACAAAGGCAACCTTCTGGATTACATATTGTTGCTATCTAGATTTTCTCCACAAGCACAGACAATTGGGAAAAGAACCTACTTACTGCCCAAGTAGGTAACGCTCCATGAGCCACAATGGAAGGGTTAAGAATGTTGGCACCTGAACATGAGCCATTGTAAACCACATAAATAAACCTGTTAAAACCTTAGGAAATTCCCTTCAGACTCCTGAAATGAGTAGCACATTTTTAGCTCTTGTTAAATTTCAGGTATATAGCAGATGGCAAATGTGTGTGTGTCGGGGGGAATCTGAGCAGTTTATATAACATATATTTCCTGGCAATTCTGCTCATCCTTCTTTCTAATAGATCCTTTCGAGAAGTGTGGAAGGCCCCAAGGAGGTCAATTTTCTTGGAGAAGCACATAACTGAGTCTACACATTACAGAATATTAGTTAGCTTCTCATCATTGGTTAGGAAATCTATACAGTTTTTAATAGATTTAGAGAAAGAAGATGTAGAATCCAAAGTAGCACTGGGTGTCCACATACTTTTAAAGGTTCCAGAGAAAAAGCTCTCCTGTTTTCTCCTCCCCAAGAACCAATGGAAACATTGTTATTTTTAGAAAAGTTTCTGTAATGATCACCACTATATTTATTAGTTGAGCACCTTTACAATGTCTTTTCCTTGTGGATCTTCGAACTGCATTGGGCAGAATGCCCCTGAGAACATTTCTAGTTTACAAGAAACCCACCTGGCTGGCTGCAGGACATCATAGTCAATTTAGCAAGTCACTCCCAATCCCACTTTCTTAGAGGAAAAATAAGAGACAGTAGGGTAGGCAAAAAGCATAAGGTACTTCTAAGAAGGACAGGAGTTCCAGCAGGTGGCTTGCTAAGCCTGAATGTTTTAGGGATCGAATCAAATAAATTTAAGACTGCACCCTAGTTTTATGGTAGTGTAATCCATAGACTTCAATAAGGAGCAGAACTGGGTCCGCAGTATTTCTTCTGTTGCCCCCAAAATTTCACAATTCAAGTCTCTGTTCTCTTCCCTATCAGGAGTTGGAATATCCTTTATCTACTTACCCTTCCAAGGACTGGTCCAGGGTCCAATCAGGACACCTATGGAGTGGGTGTTCAGGTGAGGATGTCCTTAATGTAGAATTTAACTGGTAAGTAGAAGTAAGATTTTGGCGGCGAAGTTCTTGTACAGCACGTTCCCTAAATTAAAATGGTAATTTATTTCAAAGAAGGTAACGTCTACTAAGCAGCAAATCTTCTCCATAAGGCTATTCTTTAGACCTAAGTTAGTTCTTTCTTATAAGGTGGGTATGCAATCTAAAAAGACGTGTACACACACACACACACACACACACACACACACACACACACACACTTCTTTTTTAGATTGCATATACACATTTAAATTATATGTCATCAGCCTCTAGGTAAAAGGTTGTAGGTTGAAATATTGCGTCAGATCAGATCACATACCCAGTTCAACCTGTGCACTATTTTGCACTATTAGAAATATCATCTACTATAAAAGAAACTTGCACTTCTTTGGTAGTTTTCCAGACAGAAGCTAAAAATTCTATAACCTTCAGAATAAGCTCAGTTTCCTGATGGTCAGAGCTCCCTTTCTTGCATTCTAAGGGTCACATGATAGCTACCATGACAATGTGATGGCAACTCCAGTTGTCTACAGCTGTCCAATTATGTGTTACTTATTACTTTATAATGTACCATATTTTCTCACACACAATACATCTTGGAATATAATATGTGCCTTGCTTTTGAAAGGCAGCATAAAGAAAAAAATGTTTTTTTGTACTAGCTGAACAGAAGTAGCTTGGGAGCTGAGCCTACCCACTGTTCTGATCCTTGTGGATCACTACAGATTTTACTTTTGGCTTCACTCTGTAAGTAGAAGAAACTATTCTTACTGTATCTCTTTTATATAATGCACGCTACAATTTCCACCAACTAGTTTTTGTTAGGGACTAGGGTGTGGGTGTGGATTAGTAAAGGCCTAGTTTTAGGGACCTGAAGCATGGGTGCAGTCCAAGTTGGTTTCCCAGAAGCTGGGATATGGAGGTGCCAGAACTGAAACAGGGAGCTGCAGCTGAAATCAAGACAGACCAGGATTAAAAGCCAGAGCTGGAGACAGGGTAAGGTGAGGGTTAACCAGGATCAGAAACTAAAAGCCAGAACTGGAGGTCCAACCAGAATCAAGAGCAGAAAAACAGAATCAGGGAGTGCCAAGAGTCCTATCAGAGTTGGGAGCTAGAGGCTGAGCCAGGAGTCAAAACCAGAGCCAGCAAGGAAGCACATCAGGGTCAGGAGCAAGAACTTCTGCCTTTGCTCAGACGAGGCTACTGCATGATAAGCCTGGCTTTTAAGGACTGGGAAAGGTGAGGTCTGCTCCCTGTAGCTTCAGGGTACTGTCTGCTCCGATTGCTTCACTCAACCCAGATCGAACATGGGCACTGCTCTGGGCTTGCTGCATGTAGTGCCTGTTCAAGGGATGAATTGCCCTGCCTCCCTGACTGAGGCTGTATAAATCTGGAGCTCCACTCTGCCCTCATTAGTTCTGAAGAGAAAGGTATGTGTTGCATGTGAGAAAATATGGTATTTTAAAATTGTCTGGATTGTAAAAACTGTTACATAGTCCAAATTTTATTCTATTCACTCTACTTGTTTCAGAAATCAGAATTTCCTTGTTTCTAAAACACATACCAGTAGGTTAATGCAAGATCAATATGTTTCTAATACTGTTTTATGTATGTTGGTCATAACACATTTTGTTAAAATAAAGTATTGAATGATTAGTAAAGATTCAGAATTATAGACTCTAATTAGTGTAACTAGTTTACCAAATTATCCACATTGTAGCAAATTAAAATATCTTCCATAACAGGGGTTAGCAACTTATGGCCTGCAGGCTAAGCCACTGGACATGGTCCATGAACATGGATCTTCAGCAGTGGGGCTCTCCCCTATGTGCTGTGGCATGGAGAAGTGGTCATGGGTTATGGTGCCATGGTGGGAAGATGATGGCTTCTTGCGCCTGCCCACCTCTGAACTGAGTTGGGTCATTAGGGCCCACAGCCTAAAAAGGTTGCCAGCCATTGTTCTATCAAAACACTTCAGGAAGTGAGTTTGTGCAAAAATACCAATAGGTGGTGTCATTGTTTATACAAGGTGAATTGCAATGACGCTGCATGCCTTTTATCAGGATTTCCTGATTTATCATGGAAGGGTTCCTATGGCCAGGGTCCCTTACCACTTCTAACAGTTTTCTGAGTTTGTATGGCAAATAAATGACTCCAGCTTAAAGAAACCAAGCCATTTAAAATATATATTTTAGTCCTGGAATGTCAACAAAAATTCAATTATTATTATTCAATTTTCCCCCTTATTTATAAGATTGTGAGCTATACAAATACAAGCAGGAGGCTGATGTGCTATTTAACACATGCTCCTCTGTAGGAGAGCTTGGTAAATCTTTACTGTTTGGGGGGTTCAAAATATTTCATAATATACTGTACCCACACACATTTTCCTCTACATTTCCACTGCTTCTAACTCCTTTTTCTCCTTTCTTATTTTTTCCTCTTCACTTTTCCATTCTTCAATTCCTATGCTCCTTTCCCCTCTACTTTCTCTCCTCCCCTCCTTTTGACTATCTGTATGCATAATAACCAGCATATCCAATAGAAGGGGGCAGAAAGAAAGGGATTGCAGTTACTCACCTTAGTAACTGATATTCTTCAAGATGTTCTGCACATGTGGGCTTTACCCATAGTGTGTGTGAGCCCTATTCATAAAAGTTTAGAATATTTTCAAGTGCAGTTTCAATTAGAAGACTGTGTATGTGCCCTGCATGCCTCTGTCTTTCCCCTTCTGAGGGCATAAAGGGAGGAATGGTTCCAAACACTTAGTTCCTTTGCTGCTCAGAATCCAGATGAGTTGATTCAGAGCTGCCAGGAAGAAGGGCAGATGACAGGATCTACATGCACAAAACATCTCAAAGAGTCAGTTATTGTAAGGTATATAGCTGTTCTTTTTTCCTCCAATTCTGTGTGGATGCAGATCACACTCATCATGATCAGTTAGTAATGTGGTTCTCTGGTGGTGGGAGCTAAGAGTTCATTTAAATAAGGATTCCAGAATCACACTCTAGCGGAGCATCAATCATGAGCCTGCCACTAAAGGCTAGAAATTTGTAAATATGCGAATCAAGGACCATCTAAAAAATTCCTGCTAAAATTGGAGTCGTGTTAAAACAGACCAGTGAAATTACTTGTGCTGTAACTGAATGAGTCCTGAGTTTGCTAGAGGTTCTAATTTATGTTTATATATGATTTTATATATTGTTTAATCCAATCTGCTAGTTGCTTTGATAGTCTTTGAACTAACACCAATCTATCTTTGCCAGAGGCATAACAATGTGGCCAAGTGCCCAAGGCAGCTGCCACACAGGGGTAGTGGCAACTTCTGGTTTCTATCACTGCTGCTATTGTGATTGTGTGGTGGAGGCAGCCATTTTTTATTGTCTCCTCACTCCTCCCAAGCTGGCACTTGGGGCAGCTGGCCTGGTTACCCAACCCTAGTTACTCCACTGATCTTTGGATCTGTTACTACATAAAATAAAAAGTCTAGGAGATTTGCCAAAGCATCTCACTCAGCTGAGATGGCATAAGAGCTCTCAGTAGTATCAAAATTAGCTTGGAGCACCTTGCTAATGTAGCTATACTGCTTCTGGTACCTGAGCTAGTTTGTTTCGATCTACCTTCTATGGCAGGGGCATCAAATGTATGGCTTGTGGTGCCATTCTATCCAGACTGGTAGGCTACAGGGGAACAAAGCTAGGGGGCAAAGCCTGCCACAGACTTCAGGGTCTCTGGGCCCTGATAGCCCTGGCTCTTGGTGGCAGGGGGGCAAGTGAGGTCTGTACAGATACTATACACGCACCCGATGGCTGCCAGACTTCTGCTGCTGCCACATGTCCCCACTGCCCTGACCCCTGCTGCCCCCACTAGACCTGCTGCAGTTGTCTCTGGTGTCTTGGATCTGATGCAGAAGAGCCCTGGGGTTTGGACCTGGCCTGGGACAAGTTTGACATGCTTACTCTACATTACATCCATTTGGATGACCTACAAGAATCACTGGTTTTCTGTAATTTCTGGCCAGGCCTCCTTAAAGAGCAAAAGAGAAGAAAGATTAATACAAATATCTGTATAGATTAGGGATAAAATACCTGTATGAACTAGTCCAGTATCCTTGACTACATAATCAAATCTGACACTTCCACTAATGTCCTGACAAAAAGTGCCAGTAGAGAAAATAATTAGAAGTCTGTATCTCTTCTTTTCAAAAGATGAAGTATACCTCTCCTATTACCAAAGGGTAGACTATAGTCCCTTACAGGATATATGCTTCATCAATTTGTACTTAAATAGATTTTGACCCTCAAAAGGTAAATCTTGAACTAGTGTTTGTACTTCCTTCAAGATACCAGGTGCTGACAAAGGCCTCTCCTTGTAACATTTCCCTGTGGCCATTGCTTTAAATTCCTCCCCGTTTTGTTTGCTGTGAGCTTATACATGATGCAACACTGAACAGCTGGCAAATCTAGCCTGCAGGGAATCAGAGACAATTCATCCAGGCTTTTTTGGTTCTTTATCATCACTCTGGGTGGATCCTGGTGCTTATCTGGGCTCTTCACTACCTGCCATGACAGCAAAAAAAGAAGATGCCAGATGAAAACAAAAATATTCAAATCCTGATATGTCCCATCTACTCATTTTGAAATAACAGAAATGGATGCTGGAGATGGCCCACAAATCCTTTGCATGTTCCAGAATTGTCTCAGACACGGGTACTATATTCTGGGCAGCTAACTGAAGTTGATATATTTTTTAGTTTACCAACTTAAATTGGATCTTGAGCATGGCAACCCTCTTTTTACAGGTTTTTGAAAAGCTGATCTATAAAAGCTGATCCAAATGCTTCTTCTGGAGAAGACAGTGAAACTCACATCAGTGGAAATGACTTGTTATGAAGATCACCTTTTTCTTTCTACTTAAACTCAGCTGCTCCTGTGGAGTGACTCAGTGCACAGAAGAATGAGAAAATCTCTATGGACCTTGCATTTGTGATTTCACAGGTTACGGACTATTTAGAAAAGCTGGACATGTCCATGGGGCTGGACACAATGCACTCAAGGGTGTTGGGAGAAGGGTGGGGGGAGATCGAGTCAAAGGGAGAAACAATTATTTGGGGGTGCACCTCCCCAGCAGGTAAGTCCCACCCAGCTGGGGCCCCACTCAACTTACCCCTGCTTCTGCCTCTGCGGCACTGTGCCTCGATCTATCCCTCACCCCCGTTCCCTCCCCCATGGACTGACCTGCTGGGCTGTGGTGCATGCGTACATGTGGGCATGTGCACTCAGTCCTCCACCCCAGCTTTGGATCTACTGCAAGAGGCTCCGAGGTCTAATGCAAGAGGCTCCAAGATCTACTAGTGGATTGAGATGGTTAGTGACCACTGAGCTAGACAGTTCTCAGTGGTGGCAGATGAGAGAACATGATTTTGATGGAGGAATGGCATACTGTATTAAATATGGCCCACTAAGGCCAATTCTGAAAATGATATGGATCTGACATGCTTGGCAGGGAGATAATATCCAAGAAATGAAAGAGGTTTCAGGTGTACAAGCTCTAAGGAATAAAAATCCTGATGACAGTTTATACAGCTGGTCACCCTGGAAAGTGCTCATGGAAAACAAGCAGGTTCAAGAGATTAATTTCTATGGCACAGGGGAAGGAAAGAAAAGGGGAGATGATGAGGATGAAGAACATTTCTCTAAGAGGAGCTGTCCCAGGAGCGGTGAAGAACTACGGTTTCCTCTGTGCTTCAGAAGGTTGTACAAACTTATTCCTGTGTTTCTTCACTGCAAGCTGAAGAAATGGAAGACACATCCAAAAGCAGAAGACAGGGCTTTGTCCTGTCTCCAAAAGCAGAGAAGCTGATTCTGGGGTTATTTACAAGACTATCAAACTAAGAAGGCCAACTCCAGAGGGCATCAACTTTAAAGATACCACTACTTGCGCACTGGTCGAGTAGATGCTGTATTGACTTCGCACAAAGTGCTTCAGTGCCAAATGAGATCACAAAGCCAAGCTTTAGTACCAAACGAGTTAGTGCTGATGACAAATGTGCAAATAGTAATTGCTGTATTAGTTGAATGCAAAATAGCAACACATAGCTGTGCCTACTGTGCTAGTGCTAAGTTATTTGCAGGGATCCTGGTTTTCTCTGATTTAAAAAAAATCTCCAACTTTTGGATTAAAAAAAGTAACCCAAAATCCACATTTTTCCGTGATTAAAATGAAATGCCACTAATATGTAGATATATATGTAATGATGTTTTATTTTAATCATGGAAAAATATGGAATTTGGTTTACTTTTTTTAATCCAAAAGTTGGGGATTTCTTTTTTGATCAGAGAAAACCTGGATACCTGGTTATTTGACAATAGTGGTATATTTTGTGGTACTGACTTGAAGGGTTCTATACTCTCTCTAGATGGCTGATTTTCCAGTTTCCTATCATGTGGTTCTAGAAAAGAAAATTGGTGCCAACAAGTCAACATGAGTTCATCTCCCTTCTCCTGTAGACAGCAGGGGTAGCTGTCTGTTCCTGCAGACGCCTGATAGTGACTTAAGAACATTTGGAAAATGCCCCTAAGGCTGGCAGTGGTGAGAATAACTGCTCTCCTTACCCTTTCCACTCCCCACCCCCTGCAGAGATCAGGATTACTTCCTGCCCTGCAAAAGGGTTGAGGTAGCACGGCCCCACTCATGCTTGGGGCAGCAGGGATAAGTTGAACTGCAGGGGATGCCACCCTCTTCCATGCACAGACTGCAGTCAGCCAGGGTGACCCTGGTCTGTTCAGTGACCAGGAGCATTGGCACTGGCATCAGGGTCTCTGCTGAGCTCCTAGATAGCTCTCTCCTGGACAGGCAGGCTATCAAGGAACCAGTCTTCTGCCTCCTTCCCTCTGTTTCCTTTTCAGGATGGTAGGAGAGAAGAGGACTTGAGATACCAGTGCTCTTTACTACTTGAAAGAAGTATACAACTGTTGAAGTAAATGCAGGAGAAGAGTGATATTCCTGGTCAGAAGTGCACTCATTTTCCTGTGGAAGGCCACTGAATGGCTGTACACTTTTTTTGTGCCGAGAGAAAAACATTTTCCCAGCACAAATGTAATGCCTGTCCATACAGCCTAGAAGAATACAATAGACACAGAGGTTGTTCCAACTCTTTGTCAAGGAGTGAGCAGAGGAGCTGAGCAGCGGTTAAAATTGCTCTGCCCTCTATGCTCTGCAAATTGGGAAAAAACAAGTGCATGTAGTGTGCATATGTACCACCTATCCTGCACTACTGAAGAAAACATTCTGAACTCTTCTGCAGAGAAAGCAGCATGAGTGAGATCCACATGCACAGAGGATTGAAGAGTGGAAGAGCAACAGAACTGGCAGGAGCTTTTTTCCTTTAGTAAGACACCACCAATCCACTTGGTTACAAGTGGTATCATCTTGTCTATTTTATGGAGTTGCAGAAGCTCTAGTTTTTAAATTAATATTTTTGTTACCACCCCACAATTTTGCAGGTTTGCTCTGGCTACAAAATCAGAGAAAAAAGGCCTCTGATTCAGATTCTGTAAATAATAATACACTCTTCATTTCTATTTCACTTTTCTTAAGAGGACTTCTAACACTGCACAAACACAAATAAATTAAACTTTACAAACCTTTGAGTTAAATAAAAAAAAAAAGTATCCCCATTTATTCATGAGGAAACAGATACCAGGAAGTAAGGGACTTGCTAGCATGGACTAGATTTAATAATTCACACTTCTGTAGTTGGATAAAAGAAGCATGATGATGTAATTAATTTCTTCTAAGTAATTATATGCAAAGGTGACTCCAGGGGATACATCAATACAGTCACACCTTCCTTTGGCTGTGCCATACATGTACGTCAAGCTTGCCGCATGATCAGCACAGGCTCCTGCCAGAGCTCCATCTGAGTGGTGAGCTCTAAATCACCAGGTGCTTGCTATGAGCTCTGGCCAAAGCCACTGCTTTTATACTCCTCCAGAGCCCAGGAGGTGAACACTGCTGCTGTTCACCCCCACTTCCCCTCTCCCTCTTCCCCACCCCCACAACTGCTGAATTCAGCAGCAGGGGAAAAAGAGGAAATAAGCAGTGGAGGTGCTTACAGAGAGGCTAAGCTCACATCTACATGGTAAACTTACCATGCCCAGCAGCTCAGCCCTCACCCATTCCATGCTGTTTGGCTGGGGTGCCTCTTAAACTTAAAATAAGGTAGCTGTGTCTGCATGTTGTCTCAGCCAGGTTGATTAGCATGGGATAATTGACATTGATACTAAGCAGCACTAATTAGCCAGCCTGAAGTGCCCCATGGACAAGGCTACACTCTTTTTACACACTTGCTCATGATACTTCCTTAGGTCACATGGGCAACTTTTATTTCATTCAAAGTAGTCTTACTTACTTAAGTACAATTTAGTTCATTTGAAATAATAATGAAAAGAATAAATAATATAAAAACATACACTTGCCTTTCAAAGCGCTCTGTCCCCAGCTGTCTTTTGGTGATATCTAGATCAGACTCTAACTGAGTTGTTGTATTTCTGAGCTGGGCAAAATCTCGACTTTGCATAGCACTGTAAAATACACAAAATTGTCATCTGACTGTGGTAACCATCCCAATATAACAATACATACAATTATGCAAAGTTACCAAGGACAGAAAGAGTACAGTTGATATAAACAGCATTAAAAAAGGAGTTAATAATCTGAAGGGGAAAATATTGTATGGTACAGCACAGCTGCTGAGTCATGAGCACAACTCTACATTTTGGCCTTCTTTTACTCTTAAGGTAATCCAAGAACACTGACCAGTCAAGAGGAAACTAAATAAATAACCAGTATATGTATATACATGGGAAGAAAGACAGACAAGTCACCTCTGCCTAGATAACAAAATAGTTTTATTTACTCACAGTTTATTTTCAGCTAGAGAAAGCTGCTCTGTAAGAAGCTGAATCTCAGACTCCTTTTCTTGTTTTACTATCTGTGCCTGAAATTCTTTTTCTCGATTGGATATCAGCAAAGACTCCAGGTTTTTCATAGAGATTCTTTCATTTGCCAGCTGTTTTCTAAGGAGATCTGTTTCAGAGCGAGATGATTCCCATTCATTTCGCAGCTGGGAAACAAATATTTGCATTTAATTCCATTTATGCAAGTGAGCACTCATCAATGACCTGTATCACAATGTGTCTGCTAAACTGTAAATCAGTTTCTCAAGTTTCAAGCTTTTTTACTACCTGGTGATACTTCCAGAGTCCTCAGCCCAGAAAAAGTTTCACAGTACAGTTCTGTATAAAAAAAATCTGCAACGTGCTGAAAACTGAATGTTGAAACCAGCATAGATAGCTTACCACAGATTGTTTTACATAGAGAAAACAATATAATATAAGGAACAGTGTAAGAATAATATAATTCATCATCAGATTAATTTCCAGTTTCAACATATTTCATACTGTCATAACATTTTCAGTTGGCTGTAATGGAATGCCTCAGAAACGAAAAACAAGGGTGAACTGTGGCAAGATTTGGAAAAGTCTCCTTATCCTAGTCCTTCTCCCAAGCCCTGTACTCCTTATTTGCTTCAGTCTTTACTGAAACCTTTTCCCCTCCTCACAATCCCCAAAAGGCCTCCTATTTGATGATTTAATACAGGGGCATCAAACTCATCTGGGCCGTGAGGCAAGTCTGAGGGCAGGATTAGGCCCACAGACCAGCCCTGTGTATTGGAGCCAGCATGTAGGGCTAGTCCTGTGCCCTGAACCATTTCTATGTGCTGTATGCAGTGTATGTACTGGCTCCATGCAGGGCACAAGACTGGTCTGAGATAAAGGCAGCACCATGAGCTAGATGGTTAGGCTATTCAGACTGGATCTGGCCCGTAGACTGAATGCCCCAATATAATGGGGGTGTCAGACTACAGTAGGTCTTGCAGTGGCATATTAGATATCTGACAATTTCAGCTGGATCGCTACACTATGAATCTACCAAAAAGTCTCAGAATGCTTTGCACATTCTGAAAGTATGAAAGGCCAGCAAAATATGCAAGATTTGGAACAAATAATCTATTTTCCAACAAAGAGACTGTCATATTCCACAACAGTATTATCAAAGGGAGACCATCTGTTATAAACAGAAATCAGAAGCAACATGAAGGATGAAAGGCTGCTGGAAGGCAGTGAAGCAGAAATAAAATAATTTAGCTGAGTTGGACGGAGGAGCAAAAATTAAAAGACCAATAAGTGAGGAGGCACAGAAACAGAATTATAATAAAAATATACTGGTAACCTGAATCACCACCCATAGTTTTTAGAACTTAAGCAATTTTTTAAAAAATTGTTTATTGACAAAATAAATTGCACAATACATATGACAGGCTATATTCTACAAGAGCCTACAAGTTTAGGGATCTTGGTGTCCTTCTAGAAGACTTCTCAAATAACAGCCAGCTCCTTCAAAGAAGGCTGACAAGTACATGGATTTATCCAAGGATTTATCCAAATCCAAGGCATGCCCTGTTAGAAGTTAATAATAATTTTAGGTGCCTCTATCCATCCTGAAACACCTAAAAGACATCTGCCTTTTTCAAATGTTGAAGGTCTGCCATTTTGAGGTGTGCCAGGCCTTTTAAAAACGAGTCAAGATGAACATTCAAAAAAATTGAGACACCAAAGAAAACTAGTAAATTTGGAAAATTTGAAAAAAAAAACCCTAAATAGGCTAAATCACCAAAGGAATTTTAACTTTTTCTATTAATTAAATTTTTGTTTTCAAATAGAAACTTTTTCCACAATATTATTATTTTACATACCCTTTCCACTTCCTGTGTTGCAGAGGTTAGTTGCCGATTTAATAGCTCTTTGCTAGAGTCTAATTTAATGCAAACTTCTCGGGCAGATGCAAGATCTGCAAGCACAGAAACTTTCTCCAGCTGTATATTCTGAAGTTCCTCTTCCATTTTTACAAGAGACTTGCTTAAGGTAGAAATCTGTGACTTGTAGGCTTTTTCTGTTGCTAAATGCTGCCAAAACAAATTGGTTGTCTACATTTAAGAGAAAATTAATCAAGAGTACCCAAGTCCTAAAAATTCATAATTATGGCACATGCTAGGAAGTTTTCTGTGGAAATTGAAAAATAACTCTAGTTTCTTTCGTAAAATATTAGAACCTGTAAAATAATGTAGAGTAAGTTTTAAAATCTTTTCAAGTAGTATTAAGTTTTCCCATCCCTCACACCAAATAATTTTAAAAAATCTTGTTGCTTCTGATCATAAAAGCTGTCATTCATATTTTTAAAACCTTGTCTAGGATTTTGCAGTGTTTACAATGCTGAGTCTTTAAAATCCTGCTTTCAGTCCCACATTCAATCTCTTAACAAAACCTCATATCTTAACAATAAAATAAAGTTGAATACAGTGAAAATGAACAATCAATAAACATTTAGATCCTGTAACACTTACCTTACTGTTTTCTATAAAAGGCACTGCTACAGAGGTGACAGAATCACACCAAAGAGGCATGTACAAGCAGAAAGCCATTATTCCTCTCACTACAGGCATTTGGAACTGGTATTTTATTTGAACATAGCCTACTTTTTTCTTCTGAATATGCTTCTAATGGCCCAATCACAGAAACATAAAAGTAACTGTCTTGTCAGATCCTAAAAGGGCTGGTGCCTGTGGTTTTATTTTTTGACAGGCAAAAAGATGACACAGGATAGTTCATGGGGTGGTAATAAGATAAGGTTGTTGCCACCTAAGGAAGTAACAAGATATGATGATCTCCCTGAAGTACACATTAGGATTGGGATTAACGGAAATAGTGTAAAAGCTGTGTGAAATGTTACCCTAACTCTCCTTCTTGGTTTGCCAATGTTTAGTTTTGGAAACTAAACTCTCATGTCCTGGAAGGTCACAAGGAATATAGGGCAGTATTGAGTACCTGAAAAATTAATTCCACATTAGCAAATTATTATTTTTTGTCCTGAAGTCACCAGCTGAGCTCCTATCATCATTAAATCAAAGATGTTATCCATCTGATGAAATCCCAGTAGCTCAATTTAAGTAGATTTGATGGCTTAAGTTAAATGAGTTTAGGGTTGTGACAGGATATACAAACACCACAAAGAGATTTATTGAACATTATAAACACTGTGGCTGGCACCTGTAAAAGGCATCAGGCCAGTCAAAAGACATTAAAAAGGAGAGCTCAGAGAAAGCTTGGCAGGAAATAAGAGCAGACCAGCTGCCCTCATCTAAGAGCCTGACTGCCTCTAGACCTGATATTATAGCTACGTTGCACAATGAAGTATTAAGCAGAGATATACTGGCTAGCTTTGAATGAGCCCGATTTGGTATGGGCCACCTTAATGGTACTCTTTATAGCCTTGGTCCGCAAGCTACCACAACCACACCATTTTCAATACTTGAGTTAACTTATACTGAGATCTCTGCATAGCATTTCATTGCATCACATAGACGTACTTTGAGTAGGACTTTGGTTATTTAGAACTTTTCTGGAAGGAAGAAAGGCCTTGCAGCGGACTTCAGGATGACTGTTAAGCTACACTGTAGCAAGGGGAACCTCACTTGAGGGGAAGAATTGAGACTAAGAGTTGAGTTAAGAGTTGGGGAGGTACCTATCCTCCGAGGGGCAGAGAACTAAGCCCAGCTAAGATAGAAGCATTGTGGTTTGCCAGGTGTGTCTCAATGTGAAAAGAAACATGTCCTTGCCAGTGCAAGCAAAACTGCAATTTTGTTTTTCTGGATCTCCCAAAATTTGGCCACCTGCCCTAGCAATAGTTTTTTATTTGCGCTGTACTGCCACTGCTATGCTCTGGTGTATAAAACCCTTAATTCAGGGATGGCCACACTATGGTATACGTGCCACAAGTGGCACAATCAGCATCTATATATATGGTGCATGGTAGACTGAGAAGGGGACTGGCAGCACAGCAGCAGAAAGGGCAGGAATCAAAAAGGAGAGCAGCAGATTGGGCAGGGACATAGGGCACGAAGCAAAAAGAGCATTTGATCAGGCAGGAAAAGGGGAACAGAATGGCACCTAGGGGGTGAGGGCCTAATTTGTGACACCTGCCAAAAAGTTGGCCCCCACTCCTTAACTGGACACCAGCAACAACTGAGCTTCTCTGATCTACTTCATGAAGTAGTAAGAACTGGTTTCCATGTTCTAAATGTTTTTTGGACCACTCTGCCCACTCCCCTCTGCAGTTCTTCAGAACCAGTGTTAAAAAGTGGATTTTTATACAATGTCAGGCCCCACATGGAGGACAGAAGAACTTGAAGCAAGAACTGGGAGAGGAATGGAATATGTGATAAAGAATTTACGTATAACTTGGGTATGCCGTAGGGCACTGTGTGAGGTGAAGCTTTCAGACATTTAAAGTGCGCACACAGTTAGATAAAACCTCACTGCAGCAGGGTGCTTATTGCTTCTGCTACTTTAAGGGAAGGCAAGCTGCAGGTGAAGCAGAGAGTAATCAAGAGAGCTACATGACCCAAAAGAGATTGGGCTTTCAGGATATAAGCCCAGGGCCTGAGCTGGGCAGGCAGTCTGACCTGAAAGCCATGGAGAAAAGAGCTCCTGAGCAGAAAGGCTACAGCAAGGTTCCTGACTAATATCTGAGCTGGGGTAGGCAAGACCAGGGGTTTAGGGATTGAGACTGTAGAGATGGTGGAGGTCTCAACTGGCCTGGGAGTGAGGCCAGGACCCAAGGGATAGGGGCCACAGCCAAGGAGCAGGGCCCAACTAAAGAGTGATGAGAGCAGGCAGTGCTTGTAGGACCTGTAGGACCCGCAGGACCCACAGACCAGGACGGGTGAGGACCAGAGTAAGGGACCCGTAGCCTGTGAGGGGCAAGAAGAAGGGAGGCCAGGGGGCCCATAGTTTGGGGGGGGCAGAGTCTGTTGGACGTACAGTTAGAGAGACAGAGATTGAGCTCAGGAGGGGCAGAGAATGTAGGCCTAAACCCAAGAGGGGTTGAGAGTGTGAGGCAGAGGCCCGGGCCCAGGAGGGGCTGGGACTGTCAAAAGGCACTAGGGCTGGAGGCCCCAACAGTGGTGGAGACTGTCCCAGGTTTAGAGGACTGCATTGACTGGAGTTGACACTAGGAATGAAGGCCCAGGAATGAGAAATGGACTGGACTGGACTGGACAATGGGGCTTAATGCCCAATGATGGGTAACATATGCAAGGCTTGGGTGTAACTAAAAGGAGAGATGAGAAGGCCATGTAATTACCCCTTAAGGTGATGAGCAGTGACACCTGTGTGCATAAGCATGTGATCTTGCTTGGGGCAGCCTCCCTTTTCTTAACAGCGTAATTACATCAAAGCACGGCAGGCATGTTGAAAGGGAGATTGCTCCAAAGAAGGTAAAGGTGACAAGGGCTGAGGACGATTCCATGGGCATCACGGACACCCCTGGGGTGAGGCCCTATTATTCTCACTTTAAAATATGTTAAAATCTTATTAATATTTTTGTGTGCCTATACATATGCAGCAAGGCTGCTTTGACGTGCTGTACGTACAGCATGTTGGAGCAGACTATTAATCGAGTCTGTTTAAGTGTGGTAATTACCGTGCTCCAACAGACTCTAGCATCATGTGTATCAGTGCCCCCTTGCTGAAAAATGGTGGTGGGGGCATTTTAGCTAAAGCTTATTTAATGAGCTTTAGTTAAAGTATCCCCACCACTATTTTCCACACAGGGATGCTGATACACATGACGTTCTGAGCACTTTAATTAGAGCAGTTCTCAGAGCCACTCTAATTAAAGCGCTCCCCCACTCCCCCTGCTCCTGGAGCACGTGTATAAATGCCTATGTTTGCAAATGAATATTGGTTAAAAGGAATTCCAAACAATATTGTTATGGCATACTATACAATTCACCCCTACTATAAATTCAGCAGGTTAGACCAAATTTGTTAACAGCTTCTGACTTACCAGTAACATTACCAGGCATTGTTTAGTGTAAATTATGAAGATGCTGTTCTAACTTACTTGCTCCATCTCTATATCAAGGGATTCTATTCTCTCTCTTGTCCTGTGACACTCAGACTCTGCAGTAAGGAGTGCCTGTTTAACAGAATTATAGTCTGCCTCTGCTTGGAGGAATTTAGTTTCCCAGCTTTCTGCCTGTTCACTGGCTCTGTGGTACCTCTGCAAAATTTCATGGTTTTCTCTCTCCTAAAATAAAGAATCAAGTTTTATTTTTTTTAAATGATCTTCTGTAGTAAATTAAACAAAAATATGGGAAGCATTCATGTCCACAGTGATAACAAAAGACCCGATATCTTCTCTCCATAGAAAATTTTCCCCTTCTAACTCAGACTTCAGATAAAAAGAATCAAGAGATGGTACTGGGTCCATTTAGATGGCTTAAACCCTTCACTGTATTATAATGTTAAATATTAATGTATTTTTGCAATGCAGAGATATACCTCACATTTTTAATTAAAAATTCCTGAAGAGACACATGATTTAAGTAATACCTATTTCTGTGTATAGGATTGAAAACTATTTATTACAAGTCTTAGAAATACCATTAAATCACAGATTTTAACTTTTATAGATTTATTATTTTACATGGAATAGTATGTTAAAGTTCCAGTCACTGTTAATCAGATGTAGTATTAAAATTGATCTGGAAATGAAAGGTAACCAGTTCCCTATGTCATTCAAAGCCCACTCCCTGATGACAGCAAAAAATTCAGACTATCAAAAAATGCTGGGCTGAACTGAATTATGGAAGTTTCAATTAGGAAGACAGCTTTTGAAAAAGCTACAAATGAAAATAGGGTTAAAATGATTTACCATATTTTTCATATACAACACACATCCTTTCCCAAAAAGCAGCTGCTGGAAATTGGAATGTGCATTATATGGAAGGAAATACATTAAGAGCAGTTTCTGCTGCTTACTGGACTAAAGCAAAAGTAAAGTCTGCATGCCACCCACAGGAAGCAAACAATTAGCAGGTTTTGCTCCCTAGTTGCTGCTACTCAGTTACTTCTTACTATAAAGATCTTTTTTTCTTTATTTGTCCTTTCAAAGAAACAAGATACACATCTTATTCTGGGACATGTTGTATGGAAGGATATACAGTAATTCTTGTTATAAATGTTTTTTCTAACATGTCTGAGCAACATGCATATACTTACCTTAGAATTCAGCGTGGTTTTCAGTTTGGCAATAGTTGCACTTGAATCCTGGACTTCCAACTTCATATCATCAAATTCATTCTCATACTTCACAAGTTTCTGGTGGAGTATCTGTGAAGATATTCAATCTGTAAGGCTAAATTTAATGTAGTGATTTTAAAACAATGGAATAAAACTAGCTAGCAGGTAGCTAGAAAATGCTGCTTTTTTATCTAACTTTTAAGTTTACAGGATACAAAAAAATCATATCAACTCAATCCTTTTGGCTGTACAAATACAACAGAAACTTTTTACATAATTTGTATGCTTCTAGGTAATGTTTTAGGGTATCTTTCATAAAAATAATAGACCACTTGATCTACTATAAAAAGCGTTTATGAAAGAGAACAACAATGATTGACGACAAAATCCAGCTATTAGCTGACTGGAGTGATATCTGGAATGAGATTAGAAACCATTTAGGAGATAAGAACATAAAAAACATAAATGCCATACTGGGTCAGACCAAGTCTGCCTTGCCCAATAAGTATTTTGTCTCTCCCAGAGACGGACAGTAGCAGAAATGAATCAGTATTATACATAAGGCAGGCCACAAGTGACATACAGGACTTCTGGAAATATGCAATTTTAACTTTCAGCCAAGGTTTCAGTGTTTAGGTATACCTGATTTTCTTGCTTAATATTATAAAGCTGATCCTGCAATCTGTCATTCTCTTTAGCTAAGGATTCTCTGTCTCTGTTAGTCTGAGCAAGATTATGATTGGCTCCATCTAGTTGCTGACGCAGCCTGGTGATATCTTCCTTATAGGCACAAAGACTTTCAGCAGACTGTCTATGCAGCACATAAAATTATATGTAATAAACACAAGCAATACATTTTCAAAGAATGAAGACTGAAAGTCACTAAACAAAAACACAGTTAGAAACTAGAAAGTGACATTTTGTAATGTAAAAAACCAACATGTAAAACAACGCATTTTAGAATTTAGATTCTGATCAGACAGTTCAGTATTTTCATACCATTGATATTTTTCCAATGAAAACACTGTTCCAATAATGTTGTCTTTAGAATTTGAGACTTACTTTGATGAATGCTCCACCTCAGAAATGATATCCTTCAAACTTAAAATGGTCTTTTCCTTGAAAGTAAATTAAAAAAAATAAAACTAGTTTCTTTTCAATAAATAAATGAAAATGGTTGCAGAAGATCAAAACATAGCTTTTTCATTGTTTGTTTTAACTGTCTATTATAACACTTCAAGCTCATTCTGGTTTGGCAGAACCTCACCATTCATTTTATAGAGAATCTTATATTAATCCCACATTAGAAAGGGTTTTCAACTTACAGTGAGCAAATTGTGATGGGCCTTTAAAGTCTAGCCATTTATCTGCCACCAGCAAATGAAGAAACTAACATTATAAACTTCTGCAGTTTAAGTTTTCCTTTAAAATATTATGCATCTGTCTATTGGAAAAATAATTTATTGAATGTGAACCAAATGCTAAGAGATGCAGAACTATCTTCCAAAATCTCCTGGCAGTTTGCTCCAGTCTTTCTTAATTTTTACAGTACAGCGGAATGAGCTAACCACAGCCTGGCAACTTTCACTGCTGGTTGTTAGAATCTGGTTGGCAGCATGGACAACAAGGATATGCACAAAAATTCCCTGAACTTCACAATGCTGCCTTTTGGGAAAATGATTAAAAGCAGCAGGGACAGGATGAGGATAAGACCCAGAAATGGATGAAGAAATAAGATAGTACAGCTAGCTACCTCAATTACATTAGCTTCATTCTCATGTCAAAAATGAAGGAGACCATTTTATAATTTTCTATATTAGAATAAAAGCATGATGATCTTGCATACTGATACACTAGCATTAGGCCATTTAGCAGTGGCTTGTTTAGTTTAAATCAGTCCACAGTCAACTTAAGGTACAGTTACAAATACTTCTAAACTGAAATAAGAGTGTCCACACAAAGTTTATAGCATGTTGACATCACTTGCACCAATTTAATTACATTGATTTTACATCTTAGGGCCTGGGGACTTGAAAAAGTTACTGCAATGTCAATAAGAGAGGGGATTTAAAGCACAAGAGTCATTCAAAAGTAATTGCCTGTATGCAAATTCTTGCTGTGAGACAAACGAAAGCTAAATTGCAGCCACCAAGCCCTCAGTGAAAGAGGGTAAGCTATTGGGGGTTAGATTTCATTTACCATGTGGCAAGACCATGCACACAGGCAGTTACGAGAGAATGGCTAATCTGCTATAAATCCTTGTTCTTCAATACTTTGTGGGAAGTTGTTTATGGGTAAAGTAGATGCTGCATTTGAGGTGCTTCTGATTGATGAGTGAAAACCTGGAAGTCATAGCAGACTGAGGGTAAAAACAAACATCAGGTTTATCCCAGGTCTGATTGTCCTGGACATTAACTTGCATCAAAGCAAGTGTAAGGGAATCATTTACACATACATTTTGACTGGCAATTAAGTCAAATTAATTGCTATTGTCCCAAGAAAAAGTGTTAATCTTGGATTAGAAATGGATGTTGCCAACCGAAACAGATCCGCTGTCCCAGGATGTGTCCCAGCACAGCGGATCTGTTTCAGTGACTGAAATGCACATTGCCTATTGTCCCACCTATTGATGCTGCTAAACCATGAATAGTTTAGCCTGTCAGCTTATTCCTCCTCACTCCAAGGACACTGTGAAAGGCCTGTCTCTTCGGCATATTTCCAATTAAACTATAGAAAACACTGAAAATTATACTTCTATTGAAGCTAATGACAGTTTTTACTGCTGACTTCAGTGGCAGCTGAGTTAGGCCAAGGCCATTTATATGACGTTCTCAACCCAATCATGCAAGAAAAAATATATAACCTTAACAGGTTCATTCTAAATTTAAGTTTTATGAAAATGTTCTAATATCAAAGAATCAGTAATACATTAGAGAGGTACTGACATAATAGAACATACTTTAATTGCTAAGGTCTTTTCAAAGGCAGCAATTTTCTCTGATTTTTCCTCTATAAAGTCTTGCAAGGAGTCCTTTTCTCTATCCAACTGTGCAATAGTTTCTTTGAGAATGTAGATTTCATCTTGTTTAGCGACATTTTGTTTGGAATAGTTATCTGGACACAACCAAAAAGATCTCATTATTATTAACTCTGTTCTGGCTGATAAACTTCTAAAGATAATTCTGTGTTAAATTATGTAAGAAGCAGAGCCAATGGGGAAAATGAAGGAAATGCTTACCTTGTGATATCTTTAACTGAACCAACTACATGTTTGGGACAGACTTTTTCAGGTGTCCTGAGAATAAAAATTAACCTCATTCAAAAGGTATCCCAACCATACAGCTGGTCCAATGAAAGATACCGCCAACAGAAATCCTTGTCTTTCACATATGTGTATACAGACATTACACGCAACCAAAATATATTAGAAAGAAAATTGTTAAAGGTGTAAAGCTGAGAATTAAAAAAATTAGGAAATGTCAAAATGACAGTTATCTGTGCAATCTTAATTTGGCACCCTTGTTAACATGCATTTTGAAAGTCTTTATTTCCACGAATACTACAAATCACAATCTTATTCTGTGCAGAAAACAGACTGCATTCACCTAATGAGCAGCTGTTTTGTATTCTCCAGGTAGTGGCCTGAACCTCATTTGCTGCACATTATTCAAGTCTTGCTTGAAAGACAAAAGTGTTAAGTTCCTCACAGCCTTGTCTATGGTGTTCATCATCACAATATCCAAGTGCTTCACAAATGTTAATGAACTTTAGTTTTGCAACAGTGCTATCATTGTTGCTATTTTGCAGAAGGAGAAAAATTAAGATATACCTAGGATGCCCCTAATTTTTAGGGTGTATCATATATCATTTCATATGTTCAAAACAAAGCACAGCTCTTATTGATTTCATTTGCAGGCAAAGTACTGGCTGCCTGCAGAAGTAAAAAAACCCCCCATAAATGGCTCTTTACTTTAAACCTGGCACACTCCTGTGCAAGCCCAGCACACGGCCAGAAGAGGCAGCATGTAAGCTGGACCTGGCTTGCCTGACATCTGTATAGATCAGGCACTTTAGCGGGGCTTTTTGAGTGCTTTTATCTAATAACTGATCGAGTCAGCTTTAACTGAAAGTGTCAAAAAGCCCCACTGAAGCGTCTGTTCTATACAGACACTGAGGAGCCAGCTCAAAATAACATGCTGCTTTTTCTGGTAAAGAGTGCTTTGTTTTGTTTTTTAATGTCTGCAAGGAAGTGTGCTCAACACTTCTGCTAGTAAGACCCTAACATTTCATATCAGGCACCCAGAAAATTAAGAAAAGATGTTTAGTGATCACATGAGAAGTTTGGTTGAAGTGACTTGTCTCGATTCATAGAAGAACTTTGTATCTTACAGCTGGGGTGAAGCTAGAATCCAGTTCCCCAGAGAAGCATTCATCTGCTTTAACCACAAACATCCCTTCTCCTGCAGTTCCCTGCCCCATTAACTGTACATCTTTCAACTTCTGCAACAAACGAGGCTGAGGTACTAGAATAGTGGTCTCCAACCTTTTTAAGTAGGAGATCACTTTTTTAATTAAAAAGCAACCAAAGATCTACCATGTGCCCCACGCCCTCCCCACAGGTCAGTTTGTGGGGAGTGAAAGGTGGGGGGGCAGATCTAGGCAAAGTGAGAAAAGATTATTGGGGGGTGCACCCCCACCACAGCAGGTAAGTCTGTGAAGGAAGAGGCAGGGGGAGGGGATAAGGGCTGTGGTGGGGGACAGGGAAGATCGAGGCCCCGGCCATTAGGGAAGGAGCAGGGCACAGGCAGGAACAGGGGCTGCAGTGAGTGGGGCCCTTGCTGGGCCGGATGGTGGGAAAAAAGGAGGCCCAGGGGCCACATGCTCCCCAGGCCTCTGCTTGTCCCCCACTTTCCCCAGTCCCTGCTCCTACCTCCCTCCCTCACCGCTGAGGCCTCGATCTGCCCACTCCCCTGGCAGTGAGAGAGGGAGCAGGGCTGGAACAGGAACAGGCCTGCACAGGCAGGGCACAGGGCACATGCAGCCTGGGAGGGCATGGGGGGCATGGGTCCCCACATCTGTACGCCGCCCAGGCTGGCTGTCACTGTAGGCTGGGGCTACGGCAGCAGTGGGTTCTTCGGGGGGGGGGACCTTAGCTGTGCTGCAAGCCTGGGCCTCTTTGTGCCGCAAGGCCCAGCTGCACTGAGCGCCGGACAAAAGACACCACTACCAAGCACCGCTGCTGTCCCACTGCTGCTTTATTGCTCTGAGCTGCCAGTCCCTAGCTGGGGGCAGTTTGTGTCAGCTGTGCGGCGCCGGGGACGGAGGCAGGACTGGACCAGGACAGCTGCCCGGGAGTAGCAGGTTGGGCCCTGCGGCAGCAGCACTGGAAGGGCAGGTTGGGTGGGCTATGGTGAATTTTTGGGTGCCTGCAGCACCCCCCATAGCCCCATTCCCAAGGCCGCTCCACGCCCCAAACCCCACTGCAGTTAGCCCAGGAGCAGCTCAATGCCACGTGTCTCCCGCCGCTGGGTTGAGCCTCGTCCCCTGCCCGCTGCAGTGGGGCTCTGGGCAAGAAGTCCAGCACGCAGAGGCAGCTGCCTCACCCCGTGCACAGATCAGGGGTGGGGGAGCGTGCTCCTGGTGGCCTCTGCCAAAGTGTGTGCAGCAGCAGGAGCCCCCCTGCACACCTGAACGAGCTGCCCAGACTCCGACCCTCCTGCAGCCCAGCTAGAGCCCCACTCACCCAGTAGCAGGGGGCGCAGAGAGGAATCATCCCACCCACCTGGCCAGGCTTGGCAGCAGGGGGCAGCTCAGCGCAGCTATGTGGGTCCTGCCAGTCCTACCTCCCAGACTGAGTCCTGGCTGCTCCCAATCGTGGAGCCTCTAACAGTCAATCTCAGTCTGGAGGAGTTAGTCCCCTCAGATTGAGATAAACTGTCAGGGGCTCCCCAACTGACCAGTTGGTGACCACTGTACTAGAGACACAACCTTCTTCTCTATACAAAACTGGTACCTCCCCTAACAGAGTCAACCCCGTATAAAGAATGAGGCAGAGATCCTGCAATAAAAATAGCATGTGATCTTGTGGCCATGTCATAATGCATAAACACAGAGGGACCAAATTAAGGTACCATGATTATTCTTAGTTCTGGCATTTCCTAACTTTTAAATTGTCACCTTTGCAAGCTTAATAATATTCTTTTTATGTAGCACATGGGGAAAAAACAAACAGAAGTTCCACCCAACACCAGAGGGGCACAGGAAACCTAGCCAGTTTCACAGGATTCATTCTACAAGAAGTGAGGAAAAGAAAACAGTAACTCTTTTATACATCCACTATTTTTAATGAAAGATCTTATTTAAAAAATTGTGCATGTCACTTACCATTTTTTTCCTCCAAACGCATAATTTTTTCCTGAGTAAGCTGTAATTCATATTTTTTCTTAGCAAGGTGTTGCTGAGTCTCTGAAAGGCTTTGTTCTGTCTTTTCATTCAATAAGCTGAAGAAGCAGTAAGGGTAAGAACTTAAACAAACATTCATATATGACTTTTCTCTAACTTTGAAATGTCACTAGAAATGCAAAAGATAAGTAAATCAATATTCCCCTAGATACTGTAAATTATTTTGGGTATTTCACCAAAATATATTTTAATCTTTAGATACTAAAGCCTGTTATTCCTATAAGAATCACGTAAAAATAAATGGGTTTGAACAGGATGAATAGCTTAAAGGATTAGTAGAAAATTAAAATGTTTTTAGCAACTCCAGGTTCTGCTCCGTGGATATCTAAGACTGAAATGGTCAAGCTGCTGAAAATGAGTGAGGTGAAATGCTAGACCTATATAATAAGTCATACCTGTGTATACTTTTCTAGTAACTAGAAAAAAATATTGATACTTAACAGGACATAAAACAAGAATAACTTTATCTTAAGTGTTGCAATTAATTTTAATGTACACAGATTGTTGATGGTGCTAATGAAGCTGAGAGTCTATTATTAAGAAGCAGTAATTTAGAATAGGATTTATCAAATACTTCCATATAGACCACTTAAGAAAGATAGTACTAGACATGTCTATACATGCATTAACACACTTTAGCTAACGCACATTAAATCTAGTACCTCCATTGTAAGGTACTAGGAAACTGTGCATTGGTCTATCTTAATGCACATTAACTAAAGAGAACAGTTTTTTAGCAACTAAAATAGGCTATGTGCATTAAAGCACACATGTAGATGGGCCCAGTATTTTAACTAGCCTCTCTACCCCATGTTTTACAATTGTGTAATTAGCTCCCTTGTCATTCACAGCCCTAATTGTAATAGCGTAATACTCCTGTAACAACTATAGTGATCACTTGTCAGAAAAAGTAGTACGAGGAAGATACTTCATTTTGAACTATGTTTAAGGACAAGGTAGTAAGTTTTTTGTTTTTTTCGGGAACCCCGCCCCCCCAAATCTTCATTTCCTATTTTCTCTCTCTCCTGAATATGTTTCTGTCTCATGGTCCTTTTCCTCTCCAGTCCTACAGAGTTGAATCCTCTGTATATGTTTCTCTGTTGTTTGAACTGCAACAGATTCTCCTCTAGGCTCTTCCTCCCTGCATATGCTACTGCCTAGAACTAACTTACTGCCTTCTACCTAAAGTCTTCCCTTAGGTCTTGTAGTGGTTCCTGGTAGTGGATAAGAGCTTTAGTCCCGCTGCTGGCTCTAGTTCCTGGCTGTTGACAGACATTCATTTAAAGCCACAATGGGATCTGAACCCAAAAATTGCACTTCTGATGCACAATCTTGAGATCACAATTCTGCCCTGCCTATACTTGTCAGTGTAGTAGAAGCTTGGTACCATAATCCCAGGCTCCCCCTCCATCAGCAAGTTAGAAGCTGGATGCCCAAAATTAGCTGATTGTGGGCTTGCTCTAAAGCTCCAGGGCTCAAACCAGCTTCTGAGTGATCCCTAGAGCCAGCTAATGATCAGCTTATCGATAGATTGATAGATCAGGACTGCACTGGGGTTCTAACTGGCCCTAGCGTGGTACTCAAAGCCAGCTGACAACTGGCTCAAAGATCACACGGGGACTCAAACTGGCTCTGGTGTGTTCCTGGGACTGTCAGCTGATTGTTGGCCAGTAGAGACTGCACTGGGGCTAGTTGGAGACCAGAGTACGGTCCTAATCCTACCACATGTTCAATTTCAAGTGTGATGGAAGCCAACAACAACAATATTACAAACCATTTGGCTGGTTTCCCTTTTTGTGGCACCATTAAATTGCTTGAATGTGTGACCAGGTTAGTATTTAAGACACAGTTAACAGGCTAATCACATCTTAAGGGTAGAATCTTAAAGTGTAAAATGTGTTTCAATTTATAATGACAAAAAGGACATATCTAAAGGAAGTTAAAAGCTAAAATAAAAGAGAAATAAAAGAAAATAATAAATTGCCACAACAACTTTCAACTTAAACTCCTGCCTATGGCCCAACCCCCCACCTAAACTCAATATCAAGTTTCACTTTTTCCAAGACCTAGAGAAAACAGACAGGCTTTTAAAACAAAGTAAATAATGGGATAGGGTGGAAAAGGAGAGTAAACCTCAATAGTGAGGGCCTCTTACAAGAACATTCTCTCACTAGCTCCCCCTTCCTTTGACTTAATAGAATAGTTATGAAAATATATTTATAATAAATAGTGGATACACTTATTTTTAATTGCATTCATTTTAATTAATATATATTTTTCTACCTGAGTGAAGCACATTCTGCTTTTTGTCTACTGAGCTCACTTTCTGCATCCAGTGCCCTTCTTGTCAATATTTTCATCTCCATTTCTACAGAATCTATGGTATCTTTCATCAGTGCCATCTTGGACGTGTGTTCCAAACGTTCGCTGTCAAGCTATATAAGTAAAATGGCCAGGCATTAAGGATTGTAAAAAGCTGTCTTGTATGAAATGGAGGTTTTTATTTGTTTAAATTCTACTCTTGAATTTTACCATAAGTTTTTCACTGCATGGCAGAGTTTCATAGTAACATCTGTAAAGACTTTGAATAAGTAAAGCCTTGTTTTCAGCTGACTTTAGTGAGCTTTGAACAACTGAACTGTGGGTCTCATTCCTGAGGTAGATATACATATATGACATAATAAAGCATTCAAAAAATCCATCCAATTTATCTGAGACCATAGAAGGACCATGCACATTACTGAGTCACATCTTTCATGTAGTAGGGTATTGTGTTAGAGGAAGTCTTGGTTTGGCTTGACCCATCCATAGAAGCAACTTGATGCTTTAACACAAATAAAAATCACATTGTGGTAGGATATAACACAAGGTCCTATCTCATAATGGTGATAAGGAGGGAGAATCACAGCATAAATGCTAGCTTTCTCCTTAGCCACACAAAAACATATGCAAACTATTCAAAGAGCTTGCTGTGAAACAACCCCTTATGCTACACTTGGGCACCTGTACACTTGCAGCAAGGTTGCTCCAACTTTGTCAAAGCAAACCCGATTAATCGAGTCTGATGGATAGTGGTAATAATTACTGCACTCCAGCAGACTCCAGCATCATGTGTATCAGCATCTCTGTGCTGAAAAATGAAAGTGGGGGTGCTTTAACTAAAGTTCGTTCAACAAGCTTTAGTTAAAGTGCCCCTGTCATCATTTTTTAGCATGGTGATGCTGATACACATGCTGCTTCATGCTTCAGGTGCTTTAATTAGAGGGGAAGCCCTGTTACCTGAATCTAGCTGAGGGGGTGGGGGCAGAGAATCAAGTGAGTTTGAAACCTCTGCTCTATAAAAAGCATCTCTTTAAGAGATTCTTCATCTCATTCTTTCTCCATCTCATTCACTATTGCTCTAATATTGAACTCTAAAGTACAAATTCTCACAAATTCTCCATCTCATTCTTTCTCCTAATTTACTACTGCTCTAATATTGAATTCTAAAGCACTCTGGTAAATGGTCAGACTACTGGAGAGCAAATCGATAGGCCTTTTTACAGTCAGCAACTCTCTCAACATTTAAATGTAAATAAGTGAATACTGAAATACCATTGTTTATGAAGCAAACTCAAGAAAGCAAACTGTGTTTCTGAAACAAGTGGATTCCCCCAAAATACTACGAAATACAAGTTTGAATGCATCATGCAAGTAATGCTTATTTATTGGCATATTAAGATCTCAACACTTTGAGAGTAATTCACACCTCTGTTGTTTTTCTTAACATAGATACACCCTAGTTTTTATTCCAAATACTATAATACCCAAAATGAAATATTTAAGATTTCTATTTCCTTTATTAGTATTTTTCTATTAAAGTTTCAATTCTGCAAGCATATACACTAGTCGAGGAGTTGCTAACCTACAGCATGGGTGCCACAAGTGGCATGGGCAGCCTGTGTGTGTGGAATATGATAGACTGGGGAGAGGTCAGGCAGCACAGGGACAGCTAGGGCAGGAAGCAGAGCAGCAGATCAGGCAGGGAGTCAGCATTCCCTCTGAGCTGTGTGGTGTGCGCAGCCGCACAGGCGCACTGCAGGGAGCACAAGGAAAGAAGCAAAAGGCAAACCAGCAGCTTAGTCAGGGAGCACAAGGCAGGGAGAAGAAACCTGAGCAGCAGATCAGGTAAGGGAAAGGGTGGCACTCGGGGAGGGTACACAGCTACTTTGTGGCAAAAAGGCTAGCCTCCGCATCTCATGTATCAGTGTCCCTGAACTTCAAAATGGCAGTAGGGGTGCTTTAACTAAAGCTCATTTGATGAGCTTTAGTTAAAGTAGACCTGCTGCAATTTTGAAGCACAGAGATGCTGATGCATGAGATACTGCTCTCGGAACCACTTTAAATAAAGTGCCCCCCCAACACACGTAAAAACACCCATTAGTTACATAGAGTTAAGTGCGACTATTCAGGAGTTAAGTGTGACTACTCAAGAAAACACAGTTACTCAAAAATACCTTTGGAAGATCAGACCCTAAAAATATACCTTAAAACCTTTCATCACAAATGTCTTATCTTTATTATATTATTAATAATTTTATATGTAAACAAGTAATATTTTTCCTTACCTTTTGAACTGTTGTTTCTAGCTCCTCAATTCTCTGCTCCAGGTGAGCCTTCTCATTAAAAGCAGTCTCCTGGGCAATCTGTTCCAGGCAACAACAAATACATACAAAAATGTTAAAACTAATTGAGTTTCAATGATTCAACCACAAATTTATAAGACAGAAACCACACAACAAGCTAAGTTAAATTATTGGGTAACATAACTGGGTAACATAAATTCTATAACAAAGTTGGATAAAAAACAAACCTTTATCCTCTCCCTGAGACTATCACGTTCTGTGGTCATCCTTCGGAAGTCAGAAAGAGCTGTATCCCTTTCTGTCTCCAGACGTCTTAAGATAGCTTGAGCTGTCATGGTAATTTTACAAGTCTTGGGGGATTTCATGACTTCTCGCCGAAGTCTAGATATTTCTTCTTGTGCCTGTTTTTAAAAAATGTATTGGAAATGTGCAAAAGGTAATGTAAAAACCTATTATCTGCATGTGTTACAAGTAGGGTTAGTGGAAAAATTTCCATTAGAAAAATGGAAAAATGACTTCATAGATTTCATAGATTTTTTTAATAGATTTTTAGGGTCGGGAAGGACCTCAGTAGATCACTGAGTCTGGCCCCCAGCCCTGGGCAGGAAACAGTGCTAGGGTCAGATGACCTCAGCCAGGTGTTTGTCGAGTCTCCTCTTAAAGACCCCCAAGGTAGGGGAGAGCACCACCTCCCTTGGAAGCCCATTCCAGACTCTGGTAACCTTTACTGTAAATAAGTCCTTCCTAATGTCTACTCTAAATCTGCCCTCTGTCAGTTTGCGGCTGTTGTTTCTAGTTACTCCAAGGGGTGCCTTGGTAAACAGAGTATCTCCTATACCTTGCTGACCCCCATGATGAATTTGTAGATGGCCACCAGATCCCCTCTCAGCCTTCTCTTATGGAGGCTGAAGAGATCCAGGTCCCTCTCTCTCCTCGTAGGACCTTTCCTGCTGGCCCCTGACCATACAAGTGGCCCTCCTCTAGACGCTCTCAAGATTATCTACATCCCTCCTGAAGTGCAGTGCCCAAAACTGGACGCAATACTCCAACTGCAGCCTTACCAATGCCGCATAGGGGGGAAGTATCACCTCTTTAGACCTGTTTGTGATGCACCTGTTAATGCATGATAGAGTGCAGTTAGCTCTACTGATCACTTCGTCACATTGTCGACTCATGTTTATCTTTGAGTCAACTATGACTCCGAGATCCCTTTCTGCTGCTGTGCTGCGCAGAAAGTCATTTCACAATCTGTATGTGGGTTGGTGACTCCTTCTCCCCAGGTGCAGTACTCTGCACTTATCTTTGTTAAACTGCATCCTATTTTGTTCTGCCCGCTTTTCCAGCCTGTTCAAATCTGCCTGAATCTGTTCCCTGCCCTCCAGCGTGTCTATTTTCCCCATAATTTGGTGTCACCTGTGAATTTGGACAGTGTGCTCACCACCCCCTTTTCACTAAGCGATTATTTTTGTAAAAATCTCTGCTTTCTAAGGAAAAAAATTTTTTTTTTAGAAAAAAAGCCCTTGAAAGTTTCATGATGTACATTCTCCCCTCATCAAGAGGAGAAACTATAGTGAAAACAGGAGATGTAATAAGGGAGAAATTAACCATGAGAAACTCAAATTACAACTTAGATGAGGTATTACAGTAGCATTTATTCCAAACCAAACTATCTTAATTTCTGGCTGAAAAATTTTATTTTTCTATTTTTCACCAAAAATTCAATTTTTTCTTCACACCTAATGGCCAGAACAAGACACACAGTTAGTCAGATAAATGCACCTCAAAAATCTTGTGGGTGATGAGGTCATTTTTTCTATGGATATTTCCCATACTTCTGGGCTTTGCTGGTTGCCCCCACCCCTTTCTGTTACACGCATCAAGGTGTTTTTAAACCTCCTGCAGCCAACTGGGTTATGTCAATGCTCCTGCTGGGACCAAACCCAGAGGTTCAGAGGGTCTTGGTCTGACCCTGAGCAGAGGGACAAACAATTGCCATATTTAGGTCAAGAAGGAATTTTACCGTGTGGTCAGACTGGCATGAACCGTGAGGGTTTTTGCCTTCTCCTGTAGTGTGGGGCATGACCCTCTACCTAAAATCTCTCGAGCATACATTAACAGCCTTTTCTAGAAATAGGACATTGGTGCCATGGTTCCTCTGCTTTACCTGCCACAGATTAAGGTGTTATGTCTTGTGTTGTGTCAGGGTTGATGATAGTTTTAAGAAGAATTTAGATTATGGATTGTATAGGATGTTTTGGATAGGGATGATCCTGCCTCAGGCAGGGGGTTGGACCAGATGAACTCTGGAGGTCCCTTACAGCCCTACTTCTCTATGTTTTCGCTAATAATCTCAAAGCATGGGTATATGCATTCAGAAACGCAACCCTATTAAGGACAGCAGTTAATGGAAAACAACTGCTTCAATACTATCCTGAAAAGCAAGGGCTTAAATCACAGTCTTCCTAAAGCATGGGGGAAATACAATTTTTATTTCTTTTTCACAAAAGATATTCAGGCTTTCTTTGCACACAAGTAAATAAATAAGATTACCTGATCATAAAGATTGACAAATTTATCTCTCTCAGCTGTCAAAACCTTGAGGTTACCCTGAATTTCTGACAAGTGGCGCTCATATTTTTCAAGCATTGTCTTAAGTTCTTCACGTTCTCGCAAGAGTTTCAGGACTTCTGGATCTGAATTTATGCCCTTAAAAATAACATAATAAATTATTTCTTTAAAATTAAAGAAAAAAGGATACATTTCTCAATATTTTTGGTCTTGAAATGTATACACATCTAACATAAAAAATGCAGGAAGCCTAGAATTGAACATCTCCAACAGTCAAGATTATATGTATACATTTTAATCAATATTATTTACTAGATACGAACATTAAATGGAGATTGGAAGTCTTTATAAAACGTGTCTCCTATCAATTAGTCACCTATCAATCTGTCTCACTGTTTTCTAGTTATTTTACATAACAGACAAAGGAGTTTATTCAATTTATTTTTAATGGTAATTGCCTCGTTATCACAAAACTATTTACTTAAGCACCTCAGGAAGTATTCATATTTAATCATACACAACCTTAAAAGGCATTTAAGGAGACGTATATCCAGAACCACAGTGTGCTTAGCTACATGGGAACTGGCTCTTCCCTATCTACAGTACTCAGGCTGTCATTATATTAAAAAAAAATAAAAAAAATTTAAAAAAAAAATCAGTAAGATTTCTGTTATCACTGACTGTAGATGTAGAACCAGGTTTTGTTTTAGGAAAATCAGTATAGAATAAATGCTTTGATTCTGTGCTCCAGTAAACCCCAAGCTTACCTGGATGGGTGAAGTACGTTTTGATGTGCTACCACAAGTAGGTTTGTGCTTAGGACTTGATGATCTATTTCGGAACATCTTCTTCAGATTCTCAGCTTCACTTTTATAATAATCTTTGCCCTCCTCTAATGTCTTGATAAAGGTATGAAGTCTTGAAGGAGACTCCCCTTGTTTTTTACCAGACTCAGTTTCTAAAATAATCTTTTACATTGCCAAATGGAAAAGGTGTTAACTGAAATATATCATTTAAAAATACTGAATTTTATGAGACAAATGGATAAACTTATTCTTCAAGATTAAAGTGATATAGCTATTTCTTTTAAGATCTATTCACATTTATTATTCTGAGGTAATTGCTAGATATCTGTATTTTCACATTTTTTCATTATTTTCCAAATATGATTATAATCTTCTAAGGTTGGTCCAATATGATGTTCAGTTACTCAACTTTTCCTATGAACCGCTTTTTCTTTTTAAAAACAATAGGGTATATTTAGAGAATAACTTAAGAGTACTTCCATCTTAAAATGACTGCTTAAATGTCCTGCTTCCAGGACTATTTCTAGATTTTACATTAAGAAGTCTTTGTATAAAATGCATAAACAATATATTTTATCCAGCAGTTGGGTAGAGGAGCTGTAACCCAGAACTCTCTTTTCCTAATAGAGTGCCTGAATTAGAAAGCCATTATGTTATGCTGCCTCTTGCTCCATGAATCTTGAATTCTTTTTGCAGCTTCAACTTCATTGAGAAAGATGGACAATGCCCTCACACAGAACAGCCTACAGCTTGATGGTTAAGACACTCTCTTAAGGGGTGGGTTTGAGCCCCAAAAGGTTGAGGAGGGATTGACTCAGCTCTCTCACTTTTTGATTTAATTCTCTAACCACTAGACAATTATTTTAAAGGTGAGCACTACTGCTAACCACCAACTCTATCTGCTCTCCCCTTTTACCTTGTTCTAAAAAAACCAACAAAAATCCCAGCAGTCACTAACCTTTTGTCAGGAAACGGCACTCTTAAGACATGATCTTAGGATGCCTTCTTGACTGAGACCCTCCCAAGACTTAGGTGGAGAAATGCCCAATTCCTGGATCCTAATTGGGCTTATGTGTAAGACAGGGCACCTCTGCCCTTTCAAAAGTGAGTCAATTATAGGCATGGGAAGAGATGTACCTTTTTAACTTAAAAAAATATATTAAGAAACATTAAGAAATAGTATATGTATCTGAAGAGTTAGGAGGCAGCTGAGTGGGAGTTGTGAAGACCACAATTTTGGGCTTAGGCCTCTGAATTCCATCAGTCTTTTTGTAGGCATCTAAGTCCTTTACTGGTTCTAGCCTTTAATGTCCATAATTCCAAGTTGCAAAATGAAAGACATTTGGGGTGTGTTCTGACAAGTGCACGTGTGCAGTCTGCAGCACTGCAAGCTGCATGTAGTGCACACGCCCATGTTCACTGCACTAATTTGAATGGGAGCATTATAAAAATAAATGCTGCTAAAAAAAGCGGCATGGTACACGAAGCAGTATGTGCTACCAGAAATGGACCCTGGCTGGCTAGAGACATCGCTCTGGCTGATGACCAGGCTCTGAGGGGCTGGCTCAGTGCCACTGCTGTCCCAGGATATCTCCCCACCCCGCTACGGTGGCTGGCAATTTGCCACACGCTGGAGGGTGAGTGCAGGGGCATGCCCTGGGACAAATAGCTGCAGCATAAGTATGTACTACTGCTATTTGTCCTGTGGGGAACGCATGCCGCTGAACATATGTGCTCATCAGAATGCACCCTAGGGGTGCAGACAGACATAACAATTGAACTGTTCCGAGAACGTCACTGATTTGGAACTTGCTTGCATTTGTCCCTGGACAGAGGTGTCCATACATACATCGTTAAGAGTCCTATTTAAACCTCCACTTTATTGCTACCAAAATGCCACCAAGGGGTGGTAGAGTACCTAGACCATCCTGCTTTCCAAAAGCCAATGCCAGGAGTTTCCCCAGGATTCCCCTAGAGTGGGAGAAATGCCCACATTGGCTGGACCACTGAGAAAGAGGAAGACATCACTGTCAGCAATTGAAATGCTCTGTTCCCTCTTCTCAAAACATTTAAAAGTTCAAAAAACTGATGGGGTTTAATAAAGAACACTGTTTAAAAAAATCTGTGTGGTTCACTGCGGGTGCATGGGTGTGTTTGTGGAGGGAATAGTCTGGCCTTCATTACAGGAAACAGACCCTACTCTGTGGGGTCCCAGGCTCATTTGGGGCAGGAGCATGGGGACTGATGAAAGGCTTGCTAGGTGCTGTGACTTCCTCCTTATGGATCCAGGGAGGAAGGGGGAGCTGGGTGCTCCCAGGGCCCCTGGAAGAATTCCACAGCTTTTCAAACCTGCCCTTAAAGGTATTTAATCAGTTTAACCTTCCTGCTATAGACCCTGCAGCTACTGGATCCCAAGCTCATTTGGGGCAGGGAGGTGAGAATGGAGGGGTTGTAGAGTACTGGGAAGCTGTGTGACCCCTGCATGTGGTATCTAGGGAGCTGGGTGTTCTGGGAGCTCCCCAAGATCTCTGCTTTTCTGTTTCTGCAAGACTAGCACTGGAAGACATTTTGTCAGTTGAACTTTCCTGCACAGACCCTTCCCTGTGGTCCCAGGATCACTTGGGGCAGGGAGTGAGTGGAGAGGTTGCCAGGTGCTGGGGGTGGGTGGTGAGGAACGGTTGTGTGGAAGGGTCCTGTATGGAAGTGAAATGGACAAAATAATTTCCAGAACAGGCAAAGAAGCTGAGATTTTTGGGGCCCCTGAAGCATGTAGCTGCCCAGGCACCACAAGCATAGGTCACTCAGACTCCCCAGCACATGGCAGCCCCTCAACTCACACCCCCTGCTCCAAATGAGTCTGGGATCTACAGCACAGGGTCATTCAGAGAACTGAAATTGACAAAATGTTTTCCAGGGCAGGCAAAAAAACTGGAGATCTTACGGGAGTCCCAGAACACGTAGTCCCCTAGGCACCACAATCACGGTCACTCAGCTACCCTTAGCACCTGGCAACCCCCAACACACACTCCCTTGCCACAGGGTCCCTGCAGGGAAGTGAAATTGACAAAATGCTTTTCAGTGCAAGTCTTGCTTAAAGTGAAGGAGATCTTGGGGAGCCCCTTGAGTACCCTCCCCAACATGACAAGCAAGGGATCACACAGGCCTCAACCATCTGCCAACCCCCTTACACTCATCACAACTCCAAATGAACCTGGGACCCAGAGCACAGAGTCCATGAAGGGAAGTAAAACCGATGAAATAGCTTTCAGGGGACAGAGGGTGAAAAACACAGAGTTCCTGGGGCTCCCCCAGGAACTATGAGCAGGGTATTACACAGCTTTCTGCACCTGGCTACTCACCCCTGCCCCAAATGAAGCTGGGACTCCCACCCAGGTCCTTTGCAGGGAATTGAACCTAACACAGAGGCTTTCTGCTTCCCCACCCTTGCATATTGTGGTCTCTGTAGGCTGCAGAGTCCTGGCTGCATTCACAATAGTCCTTTGCCCTGAATATGTTTGGGGAGTATGGGGGGAGGGGCTGTGCAATGTGGGATGTCTGGAGGACTGACAAGACAATAGGCATGAAATGCCCTGTTAACAGAAGACTGTGTCAAAATAGTACTGTTTTTCTGGTGTGCTTTTAAAACATTCCAGAAATTGAAACCAGCCTTAAGTGGTGTACACATCTAGATTCTTGGGTTTTCAAATGTATTTAAAATGTTCTAGACGTGTACATCACAAGCTTGCATTGATAGACAGTGGCATCAAACATTCCATGCAACTCTATGTGGGCTATGTCCCAGTTTCCATGGTGCTCTAAGCAGACGACTTAGCCCACCTGAAACAAGAACTATGCGATGACTATACTGCTTCTGGTTCAGGAGACAGAAGGTGTGGATCCCTAAAGGGTAGTTGAAGATGCCATTTGTTTAGCAAGATAAGCTTGCAGTGTGGATATAATCTAATCCTACAGTGACTCTGCCAGGGCACAGTAGTCCTCCCACAGTAAGCTCATTGCAGGACTGAGGCATAATAAACACTGTAATATCCAAATACATAAACAGCAAAAAATGGAATCTTGTGAAAACTTTTAATATTGCTGTGTGGTAGGAGTCCTATGAGGCCTTGACAACTGCAAACTTTTTTCTCTCAATGCAAGATTCCATAAATTAGTAATTTACTCTAGAAGCAGGTTAATGCATCCAATCACTAACCCAGAGCTTATTTTGATAAAATGTTTATCATACTTTTATATAAAATTGTATACAAGTCCAAACAACATTACATTATTAATATATGGGGAAGGTGTAAAATTATTTAAAGGATAAGATATTGGCGTTCTATGTTTCTTAGAAGTACTCACATCAGTCAAGTAATATAGATTGTGCAGAAAAGTTAATATGACACTCAAAAATAAAGACACTCAAAATAAATTGCAAGATATTCTGATTTCTCTAGAGACCTCAAAAATTGGATATCCATTTCAGTGCATATATATTTCATCATTTTTCTTTTTTGTGGAATAGTAAAAAGAAAGGCAAATTAAATTCACTCAGATCATTCACAGAAAAATGATCAAATGTAATTGAATTAAGAGACAAGGATTTACCCCAAAACAACTGATATGTGGTAACTATTTATGAGTGCAATAAGTGAAAGTTAGACTGTAACAGCATACCCTTCAATGAAATACAGTTAAACTGCCCCTAACTTTCAGAGTGCTGACAGATATGCAGCTCCCCGCTGTAATTCATGACGCTTTGCAGGAAGTGCCATGAGTTACATGTTCCCACTGACCCAACAAATGTTTGCTGTTGGGTCCAGGCAGTTGGGGGATTGAGCTCCATTTCGAAACAGCTGCATGTGTGCAGCCACTCTCCCCTAGGCCCTGCCCCCCGCCCCAGCTCCGGTGCTGTCTTCATAATCGTAAGTGGGGAAGGAAGGGGAGGGAGCTCTGTCTGGGATTTGCCCAGGCTGTGCTGGAGGGGGGAGCAGGTGGATTACCCCTTCCCCACAACCAGAAGGGGGCTCCAATCCAACTGCCCAACCCTCCAGTGCAGGCTGGAAAAACCCCAGACAAAACTCCCTCCCCTGCCTCCCCCTCCCATTCTGAAGACAGCACCAGCAGAGGGGCTGGGCTTTATCAGTGCAGGCCTGCTCCTGGCACATGCTAACAGAAGTTAATGAAGGCGCTGTGGAGTACTTTCACCTGAACCCTCAAGTAATGAGGGCTCAGATTATCATGCAATTGAGCACTTTTAAAGTGCTCTGCAGCCATGCACTTCTGTAAGGGCACAGCTGTAGAGCACTTTCAAGGGGCTGATTGTACAAGAAAATGTAACTTCTGTCTGTGCCCTCACTAGCTGCCTGGAAACTGCAGACACCAACACTTACTAGACACTTTCTTGGAGATAAGTCCCTGCTCCTGTTACCTCATTTTAATCTGACTAATTAACCCACTGGAATAGCATTAAATATACTTTGAATTCATAACTACAAAAATACTAAGAACATATATTTAGCTTACAGAATTGAGTATTTCCACTGTATGTTCCAAATTTCTGATATCATTTTGCTGTTGTCGAATTTGAATCTAAAACAAAATGTGAGAAAAGTGCAATGGTAACTATTCAACAGAAAATACAGCATGTTTTGCCCAGTGTTTCTGTTCTTTTTAAACAGCTTGAACATGTCTTCTAGATTAGCTGGACTGGAGACGCACTGTTTAACAAGAAGAGTCCATTAAAGAATGAACTAGAATGCAGAGGTCCAAATAATGAGAATTTTGCCTGAATAAGTGATCAATAGAGCAAGAACAGCATCAATGTCTGTTGCAGTGAGCAAAAAGAAAGTGCAAAATCTCTTTCACCAGATTTGCATTTCCAAGAAACTTGTTGAAATGGGGCTAGTTAAATGTAGCATTTCCCATAAGATTCCTCCACCCTTCCTCTACAGCTGACAGGGAGACCAAAGTACAATAATGTCCACAGTGTTATAAATTCAAGTTGTTGCACATGGACCAAAAAAGGCTGAAGACTGGAATAAGGAGTTCAGCAAGTTTTGTTTTGAAACAAGACACACAGCCCAGCTACCTTTCCTCTGAGCAATACTTACATATTAAGCAGCTATACACAATTTTCATAACTGTAAATTCAAAAGCCATTTTCACTCCTATAATTTTATCCCTCAGCTTTCTTGGCGCTAGGGTGATTTAAAAGAAAAAATGGGAAGAATGTATGCTCCCTTATCTAGCACATGCCATAAAATGTTATTTATTCCAGCAATTTTCAATAGAAATATCATGACAAGTTTGTCTCCAACCTTGAAATCAGCTCAATACAGGCAGATTCTTATGTTCACAGGGTCCAACTGAAGCCAATGGCTCTTACTGTGTGTGGGTAAAGGGGCCTCTTCATATGCTCTGAATGCAAGACTAGGACCTTTGTGTATTTTGTAGTCCTAAAGTAAATTTTAAAATCTGAAGCTTAATTGAGTGATAAAGATATTTCCTGCT